AAAAAATTTATGTGTTTTCTAAATTTGAAAATCCTTGTGACGTTTATTATTATTAACTATGTCCGGTTTATTTTCATTTGGAAACTTAGCGAGAAAATTTTCGAAACAAATTTGAGGGGACTGGGAATTGAAACCGGGTTCGACAGACCCTAACCAAAGACCCTAACCGAGAACCTACTCGACCAACTATCAGAGAATAAAAAAAGCTTGCTCTTAACCCTCGACTGTTTTTATGATTTGAAAAACGGTGGGCTTTTTCAAAATGCTTTTAAATAGAAATTTTGTGTTTTCTATTTTATTTGTTAATTAATCAATGTTATTATTGTTATATTTTATGAAATTTATTTAAAATATGAAAATACTTATTGAAAAGATGAATAAAATTCTTTAAATGTATTAAACATTTGTTAATTTAATAATATATTTATATATCTTATTATATACTTACTTTATTTATCATTTTAATTTCTCGTATTAATTGCCGTTATTTTTTCAATATACCGTAATTTTTAACTAATTAAATTAATTTTTTATATTTTTTTAAATATTTTTAATTTTTTTTTGTAATTAATTTTTGAATTTTATATTTTTGGTTTTTTAATTTTATTTATTATTAGGTTTTATTATATTTTATTATATTTTTCATTTATTTTTTATTATTGTTTTATTTATTATTAATTATTTATTATATTTTAATTATAATATTTTATTATATACACGGAGAGAAATCTGCTGCGATTTTTGCTTGTGCTGTCTTTATTAATTTCATAAGTCATTTTTCGATACCATTTTAGCTTAAGACTGGAATAATTTAAATATGAATTCATGTATTTAATGTAATGGAGTGTATCAAACAAAAAACACAAGTCACGGGTGTTAATTTTGTATGAATTTCACATAAAAACTGCAAAGGGGACATGCCATAAAAGTATTAGATCCTCTCTTATAAAATTTGCAAGAATGCCATCTGATTTTCAGGTGGAATTTATACAACACAATCTTACCTCCGTATACACACAGCATTTCACACACACAATCATTGTATGCTGGTGATTCCGAGGAACGGAACGCACAATGCGCACGCTCGTGTTTTACTATGCGTTTTTAACCGCGAAATTTAAAATAATTTTATTTAAAAATTTTTTAAAAATATTTGTTGCCAATAAGTGATTGTTTATTAAACAGTAAAATAGAAAATTTTAAATACTAAAATTTTTAAATATTTATTAGCTAAAATGTTATTTGTTCTTTTAAAAACAGAATCTATTAAAAATAAAAAACAATTAAAAAATTTAATATTAATTACATTTGTATAAATTTATAATTATATTTATTCATTGTATTTATATATTTGTTATTATATTATGGGTATGAGTATTATTTTTATATTAAATATTAAAATATAATCACCAATATAGTATTAATATTATATATTTACATATTTATTACATTAATTAATAATTTTAATTTAATTAATTAATATATGAAATTAATTAAATATTAATAAAATATTATATATATTCAGAAAATTATCTATGGATAAATTAAATTTTATTTTATTTAATAAATAAATCGAGAATAAAGTCGAATTATTTATAATGTATGCATTATAAATAATTCGATTTTATTTATTATTTTTCTATTTTACTTTTTAATAAACAACCACTTATTGGCAACAAATATTTTTAAAAAAATTTTAAATAAAATTATTTTAAATTTCGCGGTTAAAAACGCATAGTAAAACACGAGCGTGCGCATTGTGCGTTCCGTTCATCGGAATCACCAGCATACAATGATTGTGTGTGTGAAATGCTGTGTGTATACGGAGGTAAGATTGTGTTGTATAAATTCCACCTGAAAATCAGATGGCATTCTTGCAAATTTTATAAGAGAGGATCTAATACTTTTATGGCATGTCCCCTTTGCAGTTTTTATGTGAAATTCATGCAAAATTAACACCCGTGACTTGTGTTTTTTGCTTAGAAACTATTTTTACAATAAATACTTGAATTTATGCTAAAAATGCAAGTGTCGTGCCATGTAATTAAAGTAATTTACTCATCCAAGCAAAAATCGCAGCAGATTTCTCTCCGTGTACAAAATAATACCAAAAAATAAATTAAAAAAATATAACAGTCAATAAAACAGTCGAGGGTGAAGAGCAAGATTTTTTTTATTCTCTGATAGTTGGCCGAGTAGGTTCTCGGTTAGGGTCATTGGTTAGTGTCTGTCAAACCCGGGTTCAATTCCCAGTCCCCTCAAATTTGTTTCGAAAATTTTCTCGTTAAGTTTCCAAATGAAAATAAACAGGACATAATTAATAATAATAAACGTCACAAGGATTTTCAAATTTAGAAAACAAATAAATTTTTTTTAGATTTAAAATGTATTTTTTTAAAAATTGATACAATTTTGCAGCAACCTTGCAACAACCTTTCCAGAAGCTTGTTAAAATTCTCCTGCATCCTTACGTAGCAAGCTTACAGCAATCTTTCACGGCAAGCTTGGCGCAATCATTCTTAGTATGCTTGCAGCAATCTTGTAACAATCTTTAATGGCAAGATTGCAGCAACCTTTCCTTGAAAGCTTACAGCAAGCTTTCACGGCAAGCTTGCCCTGGGTGGGACATTTCGCTAGCTCAGACAAGCTTGCGCGACAAGCTTGCACGATCAGCTTGCTGCAAGTTTCCGTGCTATCTGGGTTTGTTTAAGCCAACCAAAATTTCGTTACAATAATCAAAATTGCCTAACCAAACGATTTTGTTGCAAACACAAAATCTGTTTTTTTTTCAATGTATATATTGTAAAAAATTCTAGCTTTCTAATAAAAATAACAGAAAGAAAAAAATTGTCCAGTTGGTTAAAAAATTAAAAAATAAGACAAAAAATTCTATCCATACGCTTCAGAAATAGTTATAGTATTCTCTTTTTTTCAGTGTTGATTTATTACTTATCTTATTATTTAATCAACATACCCCGGTTTACCTTATAAATCATATACGGTGCATTGGATTGCGCAAGTTGCAAGTGTTGTTACATACAGATGCCAAGATTACTATATTCCTCCTGCTTGAAATAAAAAAGAAACTAATGTTTAATTTACTAAAATGAATATTTAAAAGATAAATAGATATGAAATGAGTTGTATGCATTTAATTATATTTCCATGCAATTAAGTCTTTTTCAGGATGTAAAAACTTTTTTTTTTATACTATCCAATAAAAATTGTAATTTAGTAATAATAATTGATCAGAAAAAAAAGTAACTCTCATAAATTTACATAATTATTTATTTTGATATAATTTTTGTGAATTTGTTCTATAAAAGGTGAAAAAAAAATACTTATTTTCGAGAATTAAAAAATGTTAACAGGATCATATTAATAGACAATATAGTGCATATAATTGTTTCTAATAGGGAGTTAAGTAAGCAGACGAGTATAGTTAAAGTCGCATATTGTTAATGAATAAGTCTTATTCTTTAAAGTCCTTCGAACTGATATTATCTCCAAGGTCTACTGGTCACTCGCCTGGTGTTAAACGTTTTTAAACTTGATGTTTTTCCTATTTTTAGAAAGATTTTTGCCATTATTGTTATTTAATTCATTTCCACACGCTAATCAGATCACATCAGATTGAAAAATTTCAATGTTTACAATTTTTTGTAATATTATCAAAATTTTATTTAATACCAACTATTATTACAGTCTTTATCACAAAATAGCGAGATCAAAATATATTTCTTCACACATATTTTTTTTATATATATTTTACTATATATTACCAATGCCAATTAATTGATAAATAAATTACGCATCAAAAAAAAAAAGTTGTCTGAACCAGAAACCAGATAACACTGCTTTTTTTATGTATTTTAATTATATATAAACACTGAGGTTTTAAAAAAATTTTTATGAGTATTAATTTTTTTAAATTGCGAAAAATAAATTTTAAGTGAATTTTGAATATAAAAATCATTAATTAAAATATTTATTTTAAAGTATTTTATCAGAAACAATTATTTTTTAAACGAATTTTGATTTTTCAAATTAGCATTTATCAGAATTTCGTTTTTATACGAATTTTTACATAAGAAAATTTTTAGCTACCGAATTTTTGTTTTGCAGAATTTTTATTCCAACAGTCATTTAATTTACATGACTTTTTATTTCAAAAAACTTGAATTTAAGCTAATTTTAATTTAATAGAATTCTCCTTCAATCGAATTTTATGTGAATATAGAATTTTTAAATGACAGAAATTCCAATTCACCGAATTTTTAAGACACCGAATTTTAATTTGTCCTAATTTTAATTTCTACTAATTTTTAATTGATAGAATTTTTCAAGACGCCGAATTTTCATTTGTCCGAAATTACAAATTGACCGAACAAATAATCGACAGAAAGATTTAAATTTTTTTTAAAAAGTCATGTAAAGAAAATGACTGTGAAATAAAAATTCTGCCAAACAAAAATTCGGTAGCTAAAAATTTTGTTATGTAAAAATTCGTATAAAAAAATAAATTCTGTCAAATGCTAATTCAAAAAATCAAAATTCTTACGAAATTTTTAGAAATTGCTCTAATTTTACTTGAAACTTCATTCCCGGGTGTTTTTTTGGGTTGCTGCTGTAACATATCAGAAGTTATTTTTCAGAAATTCAAAATGTCGAATTCAATGTGGCGGAAGATTTTTTAAAAATTTATCGAATTAACCTAAAAGTTTGCACCTGATGGGTCTTTTAAGTTGCTGATTACGAATCCGATGCTAGTTTTACAAAATTAAACGTAGCGGATTCAAATAGAACAAGGTTTTGAACATTAGATTTGTTATTTAAAATTTTAGCAAAATAAGTTTAAATTTGTATTCAGCGGAAAGTGAAATCCGTAATGCGGAAATAGAGTGCGAAATGTCGAATACATAAATTAAAAAGTAAGATGCGCAATGTGAAAAATTTAATGATTAATTAATTTTAATAAATTTATTGCATTTATATTTCAGCTTCTCAGTGAGTACAGATCTTAGGCTAGCCAGTCAACAAGAGAATAACAATACCGATCAAGCTGCTAGATTTGGCTAAGTTTTGATTAACAAAGTCTAAGAATTCGACTCGTGTTCTGCGAAAAGTCAAATCTATATCGCACAGACATCGTAGGATGGTAGAAGGTGAACTTGACACAAAGCATAATCATAGTAAGTTTTATTCTAATATTCAATTTTCAAAGGCCTTAATTTTAAATGTATCTTAATCTATAACCCCTTCGGTGCTTCGAGATTATATTGGGATGACCGTTTTTCTTCTGGTTGACTCATTGAAAACCACACCTTTTGGTTGGACTAATCCTCAAACTACGCAACTGCTGTCAAGCTTTAAACTTTGTAGGTGAAGGTCCCTGGAATCTTGCGATCCCTGCGACCTTTGCCGATCTTTCTGGCCTATTTATTCTTCGTTCGTGCGAGAGACTTCTTGGACTCCTCAAGGGTTGTTCTGAAGACTGACACATGCATTTTCGGATGCCTGTGATATGGCTAATGTTCGCCTTATCGTTATACTTTTCTCTACATAAGAAGCAGCTTGGGCTTCTACTGCAGTTTGCAAACTTATGATCAACTTCACCGTACTTAAAGCACGCAGTCGATCTGTCCGCTGCCTTACGAACTCTTCCTATATGGCCGTACGCCAAGCACCGAATGACTATCATCCTTTTTTTATTGGGTAATCCATAAAGCTAATCCTTATACGTCCCACTTTCTCCAGCCTGTCCGCTTCCGTTGGGTCGGTGACTGAAACCACGACCTTTATTCCTCTTCAGTTGGGTCCTAGGACTGTCACTTTTTTGGCTTCTGGAGCACTTCCGCTAATGCCTGTTAGAACTCTTCCTCCTAACTAAACAACATCCATTAAGTTTTTCGTTACTTTAACCCTTTCTCTCGTATCTTTATAAAACTTCTATAACCTCTCAATCAACCCTTGCTCAGTTTTTTTTCAATAGCTTCCATAATATCCCTTTTAATTACAGAAGAAAAGGTAGTGTTAATATCGATAAACGCTGCTTTTAACTTTCCATTGTTTAAACCCAAATTTGTTTTGGTATCGCTCAAGTTTGATTTGAAGCAAAATATTGCAACTAAATGATAAACACTGATATATTAGTCACTACATACAATTAGTTGATTTGTGGAAGAATTATGTTAAATTAAATTTTAATTAATATGTAATTAATGGGCACATTACTTACTTAATAAAGTTTAATTTAACACAATTCCTTAGTATAGCACTGACAATTTCCTCAATATTGCATTCTCGTTTTCTGAAATGATGGTGTCAGAAAATGATTTATTAATCGCTTCTTAGCTCTGTTGAAAATTCCTTTACAAGATCCTGTACAGGATAAATATGAAAGTAAAAAAACCAAAACTACTGAGATTTAAGAAGAAAGGAATGAAGGATAAACAGTTATTGAAAATGAATAGAAAAGATGTGGAAGAAGTAAGTGAATTTTGTTATTTTGGGTACAGAATTTTTTATAAAGTAATTTTCAACTGGAAAGTATTCTGGAAATTATTGCAATGTTCGCTTATTAAAATGATCATCAAACATATTAATTTATTATCGTGAGTAACATTATTGTACCTCCAAAATTTATTACCCAACCCTAGACGTTCAGGAAAACTACTGTGCACGATAGTAAATTTACATGTTTGACGATCATTTCAACAGACATTGAAATCATTTCCAACTAATTGGGGAAGCGATTAGGAAATGGTTTTCTGCCGCTCGATATCATTTCAAGAAACCGAAATACAATGTTAAGGAAATGATCAGTTCAAACAATTCCTTTTTAATTACCATATATTCTTATTCTAATCTACAGAGTGTGATGTAAAAGACGATCGCCTTAACGGTGGCAGTTCCAAGGACTTAGAACTTGCACGTAAGTTTATCAAATTTTCTTTTCTATATAAGCATTCTTATTTGACTAAATTGATATTTATAATGTTTGTTTAATTTTTAAGATATTGGGTCCAAGGGAAAGACCCTAGACCCCGAAAAAGGATCTTTCATAAAAGCTGATTTTGAGAAAGCCATCGAATTAGCCGGTAAGTCTGAATATTAATTTATTTTCTTTTTTAATACAAACCCAGTAATAAGTGTAATATACAATGCAAATACGGTACAAATATTTCCCATCTCCGCCACGATGCCGAGATGGCGAAATAGAAATAAATTATTATTATTAGTATATTGTGCTTGTCCCAATTTCCACCCTTGTAAAAATAATTACTGGAATTACTAATTATAATTACTAGATATAATTACTGAAATAGTTATTCCAGTAATAATCCTACCCAGGCAGAAATCGACAACCGGCATGGTACCGGGCCGGTACCTGCGGCGGACTTGCCAGGGCCGGCGTGATACCGGCATTTTCGCCGGCCCGGAGCCGATCCAGTCAACAATGATAACCCGAGAAATATACGCCCCGGTGCCGGTAAATCGCCGGCCCGGTACCGGCCCTGTTCTTGTTTTTAGTATTTTCATGCCGGTTTACTGCCGGCACACTACCGGCATTTCTGCCGGCCGATGCTAAAAAAAATACTTTGTTTATTTTCTGCCGGCGTTATGCTGGCGCGGTGTCAGATCAGTATATTTTATTAACAACACATTTCATATTTATTAAACATTAAACAGTATGAATTATTATTTAATTTAATTGTAAACACTAAAGAGAATGCTGAAACATATGAATCATTATTAATAATTAACAGAGAATCTGAAGAAACGTGGAACTGAACTCAGGACCCTTGGACTGCAAAGTCGACGCCACATCCGCTAACCTAAACCTGCTTATGAGAAGTAAATGCAAAGTGCGCTTATAAAGTTTGAAACCAGGACCATTTGCAAAAAGTTCTAAATTAATAGAAAACAACTTATCTAAAAGTCAATTTCAATTATGTAATGGCAAAATTAATAATTATTTAGTACTATACATACATTTATAACAATATTCGTTGGGACGAAGGCAAAAGATAAACCGCTGGCACGGTACCGGTCCGGTACTGGCTTTAAAGAGAAAACTTTCAGAAACGCGGTGGCATGAAATTAATTTTAATATCTTATTAAATTATCAAAATTCTATAATATTAAATCGGAAAAGACTTGATGTAATGCCGGCAAAACACATAACTCTGTTTCAGGTATAAAAACGGTATTGACAAGTGGTACCGGGCCGGTACTAATTTTTAAGCAGACAGAACTCCATTGCAGGTATAAAAACGGTATTACATAGTAGTACCGGGCCGGTGCCGGGCCGGTACTTACTTTGATGCCGTCATAACTCCGTTGCCGGTATAAAAACAGTATTGACATGTGGTACCGGGCAGGTGCTGGACCGGTTACTTTTTCAGTACCGGTTATAGTCCGATTTTACCACCGGTCCGGTGTAATGCCGGTCGTCATTGAACATCCGGACCGGTACCACGGTGCCGGTACCGGTTTTTATCCGACTTTACCACCGGGCCGGTATCATGCCGGTCGTAAGCATCGTAACACCACCGACTTTTCTGCTTGGGTAGTAGTTATCCCAATAATTATGACAGTAATTATATCCAGTACACAGTAGAATCGAAGTCTTATTTTAAGTTAGAAAAGGTGCCTTATTTTCTGTGACGTAGGCACCCGTCAATATGAAAAATCAAAAAAGTAGTGTATATTTCGGGCTGATCCGTCATTTAGGAGGATTAACTGTATGAAAACAAGAAAAAGATAAGGGATGATAATAATGAACGCATACGTAGCAGGAGTTCGAAGTATAGAAGTAGAAACTTTCAGAAGAGTATAGGATTTTATATAAGAAAATAATACAATAAACAGACAGAATTAATCAAAAATCAACATTAATTTACATTATAAAGGAATTACTTTTTAAATGGAAAATATTATTTCTTCCTTTCTTTTGTTTAACATCAGAAGAGTCACAAGCGAAAAGTTGAAAAAGATTTTTATTCTTTATAAGTGTCCTTATGGTCCATAACGTCATTAGTAATTTTTTATTGAATAGCAAAAAATAATGGCACTTACAATTAAAGACAATACTGCTTTATGATTTATTGTTTTTCAAATGAACTATTATTATACCATCAACTTTGTAATTCAATTGACGTATGGACGATAACATCACTTATAAAATTAAGAATCATTTTGAATTTTTTGTTTCAGGTTTTGCAAGCCAATTGATTATTTTGCAAGATTCAGCTTTATCCAGTTTTAAAGTGGAATATTTGAGTCAATTATTTGGAAGAATTACCTAAGAATTTATTAGTTTCTTGATATGTATTGAACAACAAACATAAAATATTGTTTATTAATTCTGAAATATAGTTATAAAGTATAGTAATTAAGTAGTAGATAGCGCCGAAGCAGGTTTGAAGTTATAATAAGTTAGATTTCTGTTGATAAAGTATATGTCGCTAATTACTACAGTTTAAGTTTGTACATTTTATCCCTATTTCTAAACCATTCCATTGATCACCGAACCAGTTACCAATTCGAAGATTATTTGACAATTTTTTATATTTATAGAGAAAAAATTATCAAATTTGTGTTTGTGACAATCCTGCGCGAGATTTTAATAATTTTATTAAATTTATTGTATAAAGAGAAAACACGGGTTCGACTCGCGAGAGAAAGACAAATTATGAGATCTCCGTAATGACAGTGAAGGATAGAAAAATAAAAGAAAAGTTTGCGAGCAATTGAAAGCGAGAAAATAATATGACTGATCAAACTTACCAGAATACAATCTTGATTATCGGCTGTCTCGATAAATAATCAACAAAGAACAACACAACAAATACAACAAAACAACAATAGTAAAATATACACAGTGATTTATCGAAATATTCTTTAATTATACACACTAAAATCGTTAATTACATATAACAATTATATTTTGGCGTAGTATGTGATCAAGGTATAAGATAACGAATCTTTCTGCTGGCTTCTTGTTAGAGACGAAAAAAAGTTGTCATCAACTTCAGCGCGAAATGCTTAAGATCTCAACTTATTTAATGACGATTATGCCTCTTGTTCTGGAACAAATGCAGGAAGTTCATTATCAGGATTTTTTTCGTCGTCATTTTTTCTACCAATTTCACTCGGAGTGACTAAAATTTTTTCATCAATTAAAATGCCATAGACTTTAACGTAGTCGTCATATTTATAGACAATAATTTTACATTCCCTCATGGAAGAGTAGAAATGTAATAATGCTCACCCAAAAAATTAATTGCTATCTTTTGCGTTATTAACAAATCGTACAATTTTATTTCTGCTAAGTAAATAATGTCTAAAATGCTATTTAATTCAATTACATAATTTGCTGCGTTATAAAACTAAAATAACATAATAACAAATAGGTGCTTCATAATTTTTTTTCTTTTTAGAATATGGCAAGTTTCACTACTTCCTGCTGGCAGTATGTGGCTTCGTTAGTACGAGTGAAGAAATGGACGTGATTTCCATGTCCTTTATTTTACCGAGTGCACAATGTGATCTCAAGCTCGATACTCAGGCCAAAGGATGGCTCAATTCCATAATTTTCATAGGAATGATGGCGGGGGCCTATGCATGGGGTTCAGTAGCAGATGCATTAGGTCGTCGCAAAGTCCTTATCGCCATATCCTTTATGAATGCATTATGTATTGTTGCCTCTAGCTTTAGCCAGTCTTACGAACTATTTATGTTCTTCCGGTTTCTAAATGGAGCTGCGTAAGTATTTTAAATATTGTTCTTTTATTTCAAATCATTTTTAATTCATAAAATTAATGTTTCGGTCACTTGTAAAATTTTAATACAACTTGAAAAAGAAACTCTTAATTTCCGAAAGTAGATTGCCGTATTATATCAGTAATTAATTTTTTCTAAAACACTTTTTTACAATTTCAGCCTTGGTGGCAGTGGACCAGTTATCTGGTCATATTTTGCGGAGTTCCAGCCAAAGGCCAAAAGAGGATCCATGCTTTCCTTTATGGCAGCATTTTGGACATTGGGAAATCTTTTTGTTGCTGGTAATTTCTTTTTTTGCTTTTGATTAGGATTAAATTCTAATATCTTTTTTATCTTGGAAAGTGTATCAGATACAAAGTTATCTAACAATTTTAATTACAAATAAGAAAACAATGTAAACACTTTCATATATACTTATTCCTTAATGTTTACTTGATTTTTATACTTTTTTACATTGCAGGATTAGCGTGGTTAATTATTCCCAACGACATTGGCATTACAGGATCGTCATTTACGTATAACTCGTGGCGAATCTTTTTGCTGATTTGCGCTATTCCCTCTTTTGTAGTGGCTGGACTGCTTCTACTACTTCCAGAATCTCCTAAATATCTACTATCCCGTGGAAGATATGAAGAAGCCTTAGACATTTTTCGTAGTATTTATTCTATCAACACTGGCAAAAGCCACGAAACTTACATGGTACATTAATATTCTTTTTCATTATTAAAAATTGTAAAATCTAATTCATTCTATGTTTTGCTTAAGTTTAATTTGAAGCAAAATATAACAACTAATTAATAATAAACATTGAATTTCAGGTAAAAGAACTGATTCTAGATGACTTCAAGAAACCAGGTTCAGTTAAAAAAGAGATTACTGAGAAAAATAAGTACAAAATTATGTTAGGCGATATAATGGATAATAGTAAACAGCTTTTTGTTTCACCTATTCTTCGTTTTACCCTCATCTCGATAACAATAAATTTCACATTTCATATTGGTTATTATGGATTAATGATGTGGTTCCCTGAATTATTCAATCGTTTTGATGAATATAGTATAAAACATCCAAATCAGGATGCATCTATCTGCAAAGTAACTGAGTATGTCGTTAATCATGGTTCGCATAGTGATCAAAACTTTTGCTCAGATGAAATCGGCGCATCGGTTTTCATGGAATCACTTATTACTGTAGCGTCTGCCATCCCTGCAAATATCGTTGCTGTTCTTGGAATGGATCGTCTCGGACGCAAGTTCTTTTTAGGTAATTATGTACATCATTTTTCACGATGGTTAACTGAAAAAAACATTCATTTGATACTTTTTACTTACTCTTCTTTTTGCATTATTAGTTTTTAAAATACCCGCTAGGCACAAAATGTTCTTTGTTCTAATAACGTTCTTAGACATGTCCGTTCTAAAAACGATTTTAGAACGTCGTTGGAACATTAAGTATTTTTGTCAATTAGGTAGTGAATATGTATTAATTATTTAAGAATTAATTATTGAACTAATTGGAAAATATAATAATTAATAAATTTTTACAGTATTTAGCACCATGTCGTCAGGTCTGTGTTCCATTGGACTTTACTTTGTATTCAACAAGTTTCAAAATTTAATAGTCTCTGCTGTATTCAGTGGCGTTATTAGTTGTGGAAATGCTGCTTTGGATTGTTTGATTACTGAAGTTTTTCCAACAAATCTTCGAGCTACTGGTATTGCAGTTTCAATGGTGGCCGCACGTCTTGGTGGTATCATAGGTAACATTGTCATAGCTCAGCTGCTAGACATGTATTGTCCAGCTCCCACTTTCATAGTTGCAGCTCTACTTATAGGTATGTTATGTAAATTAATTAATTATGTAAATCTAAGTTACACAAAACACGATAAAAGAACCTTAAATTGGTGTAATGTAAAAAAATTAAACATTTACTGAATAATGCATGAACGGTATTCATGGTAACAGATCTTTTTCAATTACAATATCGTGGGATTTTTGGCAAATTTTTAAACCCCCTGATTATCATTATGAATGATAAAACACATTTGATGATTCAATTCAATTTCCAGTGACTCTGCGCGTAGGGGAAGTGAGTGTTTCTCAGTTAAATGCTTCTCGCTTTAAATCATCTTTAATATAATAAATAAATTATTATTCTTATAACAACAATTAAATCATATGTTAAATTTAATAGATTTAATATGTTTCAGAAAATGTTGTGAATATTTAATTCAATTAAATTTGACGACACTTTTTTAAAATTCAACAACATTTCGTGTCCGAGACAGTCCCTGATTTCTAATATAGTTCAATGTTAAAATTGCTTCTGTCCAGAAACAGGAGAATAATTCGATTCAAACAAGTGGTACTTTACTATCTGCACTAAGTTCCTGTTTCTTTTTTTCTATTTTTTTCCCATTCTGTTGAGGCTGTGAGACACAGTAAATCTCATTTTTATCCCGCATATTTCAAGATGACGATTCAATTCACTGTTCCAAAATTCAGTTACATCTTGTTACATCTTGTTTATCGGCTGTCTCAATAAGTAATCCACAAAGAAGTTTAGCGTACAAAACAAGAATAGTAAAACGAGTGTTTACCACTTAAGGTTTAGTATTTCATTATTGGTTCTAAAGGGAAGAAATAAACAATTTATACTAAACAAAACATGGTTTTGCTGAAACAGATGTATCTCCTTGTAGAATTGATAAAAAATTTACAAGTATAAATTAAGAAGAAAAACATAATAACGAGAAAAATACAATGAATTAACGCAGGACGTTACAATACACAACTAATAAATGCAAAATTACTTCTATTGAATCCAAAATTAATACGGCCTTTGTAATCAGTAAATCTAGAATCTGCATTCATTAGTTACGTTTGATCAAACTGACTTCAGTTTATACCTGATTAATTCCGGATTCAGTAGTATACAAGTTGGGTTAATTTCGAATTTATCCGTACTAATTTTCCGGATGATAAAAACCTGACAATAAACCAGACTGTTTCGGAAAAATTCCACATTATTTCGGAAAAAGTACGGAATTTTTACCGGGGACTCTTTTAAGATTAGAATAAAACAATCTTTCATTTATGACAATTATTATCCCTAAAACTTATAGTTTGACAAACCACAAGTTTAAAAATTTAAATTTTACTTTTTCAGCTACTAAATTTAAAAAATATCTAACTATTTACAAAGATATGTTACTTAAATTTTCATAAATTTTTCAGGTGGCGGTCTGCTATGTTTATTTTTACCAAACACAACACGGGAACCACTTTCCTGACGATGTCGAAAAATCTTCTCTCAATTAGTTGTGTATAGTATTTATAAAATAGACATTATATCAGAAGCACACATTAAGAAATTTTCTTTCGTACAATGGGCGATTCTTATTAGGTGACCTAACTTTAAATGATATAAAATGTCTAATAATAGGAACAAATTTACATAAAGTCGATTTCTTTGGGAGTGTACTTTAACCACTAAGTATTGTTCAATTTCATGAGAAGTAGGTACAACAGTTTTTTTAAAGTTAGATTACTTGAAATAATTTGTCCCATACATAAAATTAATGCCTTAGTTTTTGAAAACATTTTTAAAAAATTGTGTAAAAAATTAATATAATTAAATTTAATGACATAAATTACTATAACAGTACCTAAATATAACAAGAAATACATTTTTCAATTTAGAAATGGTAAAAAAGTAATCAAAAACTGAGGCAATTGTGATGTTATATTTGAAAACAATATCTAAAAATACTTTTCAGTACAACGAAATTGTGATTTTATATATAACGATAACATTCGTGGTGATAACAAAGGTATAAAATATTGAACTCACAAAGCCATAATTATGATCTGCTTATAATTAGCAAATTAGTGTTAAACTGCAAACTCGTTTTTTTAGCCACTCACAATTTCGTAATACTAAATGTGTGTATTCTATTAGTCATTTCCGCCTTGTTAATTTTCATTTTTCATAATTTGATATATGTTATAAATAACATTGTACTTTTATAAGACTTCCGAAAAAGTCACGTACGTGTATTTCGAATATCATCTAAGAATGACGTAAACCAAAACCAATTGCAACAATTTCTGCTATTTCTATTGGGTGAGTTTTAAACTATATATAAATGATACGTAGAGTTGAAATATATTTTTACTTTATGTTACGATTTTCAATTAAGAGAAACGCACAGAAACAATTTCAATATATAAAGTAATTCAAATAAACTGTATTTATTGCGCTTTAATGTTTCTCATTCAAAAATCGTATCCATTGCATTAATTAATTTAAATTGTTTGAATACAAAAAATAGTGAATCAATAAAATAGGAATGAAGTAAAACTTTTTGACGATTTACGAGACAAGGTACCTGATGGTGAAAAGGCGAATTTTACAAAATGGACGTTCAAAGAAATGCGATATAATTGGTTGTAATCTGCCGGAGAAAAGCAGCCTCACCAATGCTTCATTTATATATTTGCAGTACATTCGTAAGATTTCTCGTAAAGCGTAATATTTAAAAAAAAAGAAAATTTTTAACACTTGAATATCAGATTAAATTTCTTACTCTATTTGTATATTTTGATTATAAATCTGATGTGAAAACTGCTTTAGTACGTAAACTTTTCTAAAACATATAAAATTAAATTTTGTGATAAATTACAAAAGTAATATTCATTTTTTAATAAATAAAAATGTCGATAAAATAAATATGATACACTTTTTTTAGCATTCTAAAAGCTGATGTACTAGAGTATTTTTAGCATCAGATTTGCGTTTAAAGTCTAAAAATAAAAAAAAATAAGTAACTGACATTACAATTTAAGAATATTTGTGATTGTGTTAAAGTGTAATTTTTATACAAACATTCCAATGAATAATATTATTATGTTTCAATTTAAACCTTAGAGTACAAAATGTAAAACATGTTATTACATTATGGATTTTAGGTTCCCATTAAATTATAATAAATCGTGTAAATTTAATTGAATATATCATTAGTTTCCATATAAAACCAATGTGATTCAATTTAAATTTTTAGTGAAACAAACCAAATTATTGTCTTGTTATTAATAATCTTTGTAAAAATCAATATGCATAAATTGTGCAAAAAGCATAGCAGAATTCTTGCTTTAACCATGACGACCAGCCAATTTTAGGCAGTGAAAATAATGTTAAATCAATTTGTGAGAAGTTTATGTCTTTATTATCTTTAAAAAAAATCCTGCGTATTAGAAGATACTATGTGGTTATTTAACGGTTTAAATTTTCGACATTTGTACCAGATAAAAAAATATGTTTTTTAAAAACAATCGCGATAAAAATTTTAAATAGTTATATGCGCATTTTGTAACTTTCACACTGTAACAACAAGCGATTTATTTCGAAATGTTTGGTCTCTACATTTTGAGATATTTAAACTGATTGTGCCGTTATTATTGAAACAAACTTAAATGTCTTCAACTGAGATGCATAATATAAACTATAATTATGCAACTCAGTTACTATGCCACTTGTGTTTGATGTAACGTTCCTGATAAATCGAAGATTTATTTAAATGAAAATTGTATAAAAGTAAATAAACTTAAGAAAGAAACGAATACCAATAGTATATTTTTTACCTCAAACCCAAACGAACCGAAACTTGACCGAGCTAGCTCAGTCAACTTCTCGGTTTACATAATCCGCCAGGGTAAGTGTAAAATAATTTTTAATACTGCAATATGAATTAAAAATAATTTTAATTAATATTTAATAATAAAATACTTCATTTGTTTGCTCATAATTTTTATTTCTGCAATATAGACTAGAAAAAGTTTTGATAAATAATTGTTTTTAATTATTCTATATTTCTTTTTCTAAATATAATTATAGAATATTTGTTATAAGTTTGCTTCTATAATTAAATTAAATGATTTTATGATAAAAATTGTTCTATGAAAGGTAATCAAATATTTTATTATTTCTTAATAAATAATTATTTTTATTTTTAAATATTTAACAATGTAATATTAAGCTTCTCACAAGTGCAGAAAAATCTGTCTATTTAGTATATAAAGAAGTTCACAGTTTCTCATTTCAGCGTGAATTATGTATCTATATGTGTTGCTTTATTCTGCGTTTATGTATGCGTATTGTAGTTAGGATGTGTTAGGAATAATTTTAAGCCAATCAAAGCGTTCTGATTTTTCGTATAAATTTAGTAAATAACAAACTGCTAGACTGTTTATTTCTTATACTGTTTTTTCCTACAGTTTTTTCAATATTCGAAAATTTAATATGACTTAAAATTGTTAATCGGCGGTTTTCGGGGTCGCTGAATTCGAATTTTTGGTCGAAAATAAAAAATTCTAAATGGTTTCTATCACTAAGTTAATAGATCGTGTAAAACTCCCGAGTAACCATTTTCAGCCAGATTCCTTAACTTTAAAATTTTTTTTGGTCACCATTTTGTAGCCGCCATTTTGATTTTTTATTTTCGACTAAAAATCCGGATTCAGCGACCCCAAACACATACAATATGATAATGTCTTGTTTTAAAAAAAAATTTTATTGAACATTTATGGCACAAAACCTTCCCACACAGCACCGAAAGTTTCCTAAACCTGTATTAAAGCTGTGCGTGCCAAGTTGGAAAAATTTACCGTAAAGCTTAGCACAGGTTGTGTAAATATGTAAATGTCCGCAATTGAGTAAATGTTTAGCGTAAAACTGTACTGAATCTTTAAATTACGTATTTAGTACAGGTTTAGCGTAAAACTGTACTGAATCTTTAAATTACATATTTAGTACAGGTTTAGCGCAAAACTGTACTGAATCTTTAAGGGGGGAACACCAGTTGTAACTTTCGAAAAATCAATTTTTTTTTTGTGCATTTTCTTAAAGTATACATATTTAGAAATGTGTCTGTAAATTTCAAAGTTGATCCGGTGAAAAATAAATGAGATATACAGAACACTGCATCGGCGCGTCCCGTGGCTTCATACAAGGTGGCCAGCCATAACTGACCCTAACGACAGATGGCCTTTTCCTATGATTTAGAAACGGCAACCACTGCGGAAGAGTTATTATATGGTCCAGGAATCGATGACTCTTTGTTACTTGGAAACAAAATTTCTTCTGAACAAAAAAAAGTAAGTTGAAACTTTGAATGCGTTTTTCTCAAAATGACATTTTCCAAGTCGGTGACCACGATTACTCGAATACCATTAAACCGATTTATTTAAAATTTAGTGTGCTTCATTTACACATATAAGTCTAGTTCGTGATCGAAGGATTTTTTTTTTATGCAAAACTTTTTTTTATATAGCTGAAAATCGACCGTATTTTTTTAACGAAAATCATACTTTTGACTTTGACAGGTCGCCATTTTGTCAAATTTTTTTTGTTTTTTAAATCCTTCGATCACGAACTAGATAATCTTATAATAAATGTAAATCAATTTCATTTTTGTATTTCAGACGAAGTATACTTGCAGAATGCTGGTCACCGCAATTCGTCTTTTTTCTTAAGACGCCACTTCAATGGCTCATATCTCCAAAAGTTTTTGTTAAAAAAATTTTTTTTTTCTTTTAAATTACAGCTTTTTACATGTACTTTTAACTCATAAATAGTATTCTTTAAAAAGATTCATTGTTCTTTTGGAAAATATTCTTGAAAAAAGCATTATTTTTTGAGTTACAACTGGTGTTCCCCCCTTAAATTACATATTTGGTACAGGTTTAGCGTAAAACTGTACTGAATCTTTAAATTACATATTTGGTACAGGTTTAGCGTAAAAGTTGCCTGAACATTTAAAATAAATCTTTTGTAAAGTTTTATCATAAAATTTGCTTAAAAATTAAAATTAAATCTTTATTACAGTTTTAGTGTAGAAATTTTCTATAAATTTAAATTAAAGCTTTATTAAATATTTAGTGCGAAATTAAACTACAAAAAGTGTTAATTACATTTTCATTAAAGTTTTTTGTAGAAATAATGTTTTTTTCAATAAAAAAATTATACTGAGCGGAAAAAATTAACTGCAAATGATGCTATCAATTCATATAAATAAAAAAATAACTATTATAGTGGGAAATGGTATAATAAAAAAAAGGTTTAAATACAATGAACACAAATATATTTATTAATAAATTAATTAATGGTAGTGATATGGTGAATCCTTAAAATCTCCTGAACATCTGAAAAAAATGCACTCATAAAAAGAAGTTTTTATAAATTAGAATTTTTTGTTTCAAAATTGTATACTTTTTATGTTCTTTTTTAAATAAAAATTTCATTAATTTCAATAAATGAAAATTATTTAATTTAAATTAAATTATTTTTACCTTTTTTCTGCAATCCACTTAGGATTGGCCGCTTTTTGCTAAGTAATTTTACCATTATGCATCAGACACTAAAACTGTAATAAAGATTTAATTTTAATTTTTAAGCAAATTTTATGATAAAACTTTACAAAAGATTTATTTTAAATGTTCAGGCAACTTTTACGCTAAACCTGTACCAAATATGTAATTTAAAGATTCAGTACAGTTTTACGCTAAACCTGTACTGAATACGTAATTTAAAGATTCAGTACAGTTTTACGCTAAACATTTACTCAATTGCGGACATTTACATATTTACACAACCTGTGCTAAGCTTTACGGTAAATTTTTCCAACTTGGCACGCACAGCTTTAATACAGGTTTAGGAAACTTTCGGTGCTGTGTGGGTTGATTTTCACTGCACTGAAAAAAAAATTATTTGATTCAAATACTTCAAATTATTTGAAAAATCCTGTGTAGACATCTTCCCAAAGTCGCCCAAAGTAAGACTGGGCGCCAATCTGGGCCCAACTTGGCTTCCCAAAGTTTGAAAAATAAAGAAATAAAAGAATTAAGTTAATTAAATTATTATTTTAATAATATACTGAACAAATATACAAAAAGCGCAACTGTGAAAAGCTAAAAAAAAATTTTTTGTTTTTCATTGTACTTGGGCAAAGTTTAGGTCAACCCAACCTGGCCCCAACTGGGATTACCCAAAGTATTCCAAAACTGAAATTTAATTTAATATTATGTTATAAATAAATAAAAAAAACTTGAGAAAAAATGAGAAATAATAAAACTAGTTAATTATATTTATATTTTATTATATATAATTTATATTTAATTTATATGCCGTTTGGAGATTTTTCCAAAAGCCAATATGGGCAAAATTCACATTTAAGGAAAAATAAGGAAATTGAAAACTTTAGTTAATTATATTAATGCTTAAATAATACCTTCCCTGAATAAATAAAATGTATGTCAAGTTCTTAGTTTTTAATTTATTGAACTAAGCTAATTAATAATAATAACTTAGTCGTTTTTTGAGTTTGGACTTTCCCACTCTGACCCCATTCTCAATCATCTATTTCCTATTTTTATTCAATTTATTAATTATAATTGAACATAATTTTCTAATTTAATAAATTATTTAAACAAAATTTTGACTTCAACGACAACTATACTTTGGTACTTATTAATCCAAATTATTACTGGTAAAAATGTTAAATTAAAATAAAAGAAATTAAGTAAGTGATATTTTTACTATAATAATTAAAAATTTATTATATTTTAATTTATTGTCTAAGCTAATCATATTTTTCACATCTTTGATTCAATAATTGTATGATACAAATGATACTGAGAAATTAAAACTTGTCTGCAGGTACGAGTCGTTAGCATAGTGGTTAGAGCATTAATCTATAAATCCGTAGGTCGTAGGTTCGATTCCCCTAGTGCACAGTTTTGTTAATTTCATAGGTTTACGTTATTTCTGGTTAATTTATAAGTTGTACCAAAACTTGAAAATCTAATACATACACTATTATTTAATTTTTAAATTATATAAATATTTTTTTTTACTTTTTTTACTATATACATTGTTTGTTAGTCTTCATCTTTAATACAATTTAATTTAAAAACAGGAAGATTTATTTAAAAGGAAATTATATTTATTCATTTAATTTACACTTTTCTTGTTAAATTATTTATATAATTATTAATTAACAATTATAAATAAAAATGGAATGTATTTTTTTGAGATATCAGAGTGGTTTCCAATTTATTTTTGTGTCTTGAAAACTATCCCGGGTTACAAAATTGCGTATCACGTCAGGATTTTGAGTAAAGTGGGGGTAAAGACTCTAAAACCCGTGTTTTTGAGGGTTTTCAGTATTTTTTTCTCCTAAACCTGACGTGATAAGAGACTTCTAGATATAGGTTTAAATTAAAGCTTATGTCTTACACTTTAAGACTCATATACGCAAGGAAAAAAAATTTGAAATTTAAAAAAAAAATTTGGTTCAAGTCACCTAAAAAGATTTTTAGGGTTTTTACCCACATTTTTTTCAAAATTTTAAATCTTTTTTTAATCCTGCGTAAATGAGTCTTAAAGTGTACGATGTATGCTTCAATTTAAGCATATATAGAAGTGTCTAGCACGTCTGGTTAAGGAATAAAAAAATAATGAAAACCCTCAAAAACACTGTTTTTGGAGACTTTACCTCCACTTTATTCAAAAGCCTGATGTGATACGCAATTTTGGAACCCGGAATCGGGTTCAGCACACAAAAATACATTGAAAACCACTCCGCTATATATAAAAAAGTCTTACTTTGTAGACCTGTGTTATGATTATTTATAAACGTCTTTAAGATTTAATTACACAATAGTGATTATTTTATTTGATCATATTTAAATTTGAAAATCTTTTTTGGAGTGTCTTGTTGTAATATATGTCATAAAAAATGTCATTTACCACAGAATTAATGTTTTTTTAGCGAATACACGAATCTCAAGGGTGCCAATAACTTAAACAGTATGGCCATGTCACCTCGAAAAAACATGGCCATCTCTCCTAATGTCAGGAGACAAATTGACACAACTAAAATTTAAATAAATAAATAAATTTTTTGAATAAATATAAAGTTATGACAAAGCTTGGGTCATGTACTTTACAAAAAAACATGAAATTCAAAATTATTCTATAAAATAACATAACGCACCAGTGAGATAAACGTAAACTCATCACCTTTTTTTCCCAACTAGTCAAAATAACAAATCAGATTTTTACTTACTTTTTCAATATTTTTCGTGAAGTTTTTTCTTTTAATTGTGTTTTGCCACAAAACAAAGTGAACTAATCTTTAATAAGCGATACCTAGCAGCAAATTCTATAAAATATTTAAATTGGCCATCTCTCCCGCATGGTCAACTCCCCCGGACTTACCCTAATATTTTAGTCGCGTATTTTTGACATTATAAGGATTAAAAAAAAGTAAAAAAAAATCAGAAATTTTTTTTTTCAAACGCAAGTACGCCTTAAGGTAAGTATGCTTTACTTTAATTCAATAAACTTTACGAGTTTTTTTTAAATTCCTGAAAAACGTGCATTTACACGAGTTTCCCCCCTTAAGTAAAAACTCAACAAAGATTCTTTTAAAAGTCAGTTTTAAATTTATAACAAACAAACACTGCCCCTCTCCTGCCATAACTATGCACGTGGATTCTTTTGAATAAAACAATATTTTCAAAAAATATTACTCATTACTATTTAAATATTTATTCTTTTTATATTATAATGACTAGAGAAATTCGAATTTAGTGAAAGATAATCATAGATAATCCAATGAGAATTGTTATACTTATTTGTGTAAGAATTAAATTATTATTTCGTGATGTTAATGAGAGTGAACAAGTAAAATAACAATTATTATTAACAGTAAACTTTAATTTTTGAAAAAATTTACATATCTTGAAAAATAAAACTATTTCATATTAACATCCGGTTACTGAATTTAAATAAATGTGTGTATTATGAAAATTGGGATTGGAGGTCATGACATCACTAGAGATAGATATAAAGTAAACATTTATTAATTTATTAATTCTATTATTATTTTTAAAAAAACTTGAATCGAGGGGGAATTTACTCAGGTAGTCAAGTGTACTCTCTTCCTGTAATATTTGTGTAATAACGTGTAATACTTAGTAATAAGAGTAATATGAGGTGTAATACCGGTAGTCAAGTGTACACGTCTTTAAGGCCAGGTCCAAGTGAGGCAGCGCCATCTACATTGAAACTAAAATTTTGGAAAATTTTCAACAGCCTTTTCTTGAAAACAAGAAGGTAAAATGCTTTTTCCTTTATGGATAATTGATTATTGGCAAGATATACACCAGCTAAAACTTTTTTTGAGTTAAAATAATGAAAAAGATTTCATGTCAATAAATTAAATATGAGCACTTTTTTCACAAAAACTGTAACAGTACTTTCTCAGAAATTACAATCAAAAATGCAATTTCCATTTGGAAAATTAATAAACGCTAAAAAATACACGACCTAAGATTTACCAATCACGAAAATAACAAAAAAAAAGTTTTTTAACATAACATATTTTACTCATTATGACAGCCGTTTGACAGGTTATATATGTCACCACACTGAAAGAAATTTCATAGGAAAAAATAACAAAATGCGTATTACATTTTAATATATTCTTTTAGAATTTAGGGAAAAGTGTACTTTTTATTAAAATTCAATATACTTTATATTAAAGTTCCAACTTAAAATCTTTTTTCAAATATTAATAATTATTGTAGAAAGAACGTAAAAAGATTACCAATATTTGAAAATATTATATTAAATTCTCATAGAGTTGTTGCATTATATGGAATGTAGCGTTCTAATATTTGTAAAACTTTATACGAAAAATTCAGAATGTCGGAAGAAAAGGGAAAAAAAGTGGAAACTCGGACGTTTCCGTTAATTCTCGGGAGGAAGAGGAGTGAGACTAGGAACAACACATTCACACTTACGATACAGGTTAACACACATACTAATGAACACGCACGTTCATTTCGCTTATACATAGACATTACACGATCGCAACGAAACCTACACTTACAATTCTATACGCATAACGATAAATTTCGCTGGGGGTCGGCATATATCGTTTTCTTATATACTAACTACTGAATATTTTTACCACTTGCGAGAAAGAAGTTTACTTATAATAACTTAATAATAAAAAATAGTTTACTAGTGCCAATGGTGTAATTTTATAGAGGTTACGCTGGGTTCATTTTTATTATTAATTGTTTATATAGATTTTTCTTTTTTTTCAGATTAAAAATTATGATTGTTATAAAAATTTTTATTGCAAATAAAAATCAAATAATTGTAAAGATGACATCAAAAAATAATAATTAATAAAAATAATAATAAATTTAATAATTATAAATGTTTTCTGTGGCACTATAAACATTTGAAACACGTGTGTTGACAGTTGATAGGTACGTTCTGCTGGTTAACAACACTTTCGAAAATCGGATCAAGTCGTAGAAGTTCGAGTAGGACACGAAGCCGCAAACAGACAGAACTTCGGTTAAATTCGTAGTCTCTCGGGAAAATCCGTGACTTTTAGTATAAAGTTTTACAAAATGTGAAATAAGTATACGGATATATGTTATTTTTCTTACTATTTTGTGAAATTATTTATTATAATATTTCGTATTCTGTGAATTCATAAAGAAAATACTAATTTTTAAAATAAATATACTAATTTTTATTTCTTAAAATAATAGTTACTCTTAAATTCATTATATATTTTCATAAAAACTGTAATAGTAATCAGTATAGGTGCACTTTTTCCCTAAATTGTAACATTTATATTAAACTCTAATATGAGTTTAATACTTAGTAGTATGAATTTTCTTTCAGTGCAGACGTTTCGCGGTTTTTGCGATATAATCTACCAAAGGGCTGTCACAATCAGTAAAGGCCAACGCACAATAGGTTCGCGAACGAGAGGCATGAGATAGAAAAGGATACGAATATATCTCTGTCTTTTTCTAACTCATGTTTCACGTTCGAGAACGTCATTCGCGAAGCAAGTCTGCTTAGGCCTTTAAGCAGTATCAATATGTTAAATATTTAATAAAATTTTTTTTTATTATTTTCGTGATTGGTAAATCTTAGGTGGTGTATTTTTTAGCGTTTATTAATTTTCCAAATGGAAATTGCATTTTTGATTGTAATTTCTGAGAAAGTACTGTTACAGTTTTTGTGAGAAAAAGTGTTCATATTTAATTTATCGACATGAAATTTTTTTCATTATTTTAACTCAAAAAAAGTTTTAGCTGGTGTATATCTTGCCAATAATCAATTATCCATAAAGGAAAAAGCATTTTACTTTCTTGTTTTCAAGAAAAGGCTGTTGAAAATTTTCCAAAATTTTAGTATCAATGTAGATGGCGCTGCCTCACTTGGACCTGGCCTTAACTAGTAAATTCCCCCTCGACTTGAATATTCAAAAGTGTCTAAAATTTAATTATTTCTAAAATTTTCTATCTTTTAAACTTTCTGAAATTTAATATAATTTCAACTATAACTTTTCAGGGTTGCTACGGGTCAGAAAAATTAAGGAAATGATGGAAAAGTCATGGAATTTTATGAAAAGTACTGGAAAAATATCAAACCAGGAAATGACAGGAAAAATTTTCTCAGACTAGTACCCAAGAAGCACGTAATATAACCTCAATATCAAGGTAATATTACATGTAAGATTCGTAATATAACGTTGTAATATTACAGTAATCTTACAGTGATCTTAAAATGTCCGCCTCAAGGTAATATTACCGGTAATGTTACTGTAATATTACGCGCTAATATTAAGGTAATATTACAGTAATATTGCAGTAATATTATACCGTAATATTAAGGTAATATTACAAGAGAATATTACAGTAATATTATGGGAACATTTCTTTACGAAAAAAATCTACCCATCCAGGGAATCGAACCCCGAACTCAAAGCACACGAGTCCAGAGTTTTACCAACAAGCCAAATTGACTTATAATATATTTACGTTTTTTATGCTTTATGAATAACTCAAATCAGTCTGTAATATTACTGTAATATTACCGTAATATTCCCGGTAACCTTGAGGCGGACATTTTAAGATCACTGTAAGATTACTGTAATATTACAGCGTTATATTACGAATCTCACGTGTAATATTACCTTGATATTGAGGATATATTACGTGCTTCTTGGGTATATTTAATAATTTTAATTTTATTACTGATTTCATCATTTTTTTATGCTTCGTTTATTGATTTATTTTATCAGTTTTTCAATTTTTCATTGTTACTTAAAATATTTAAGTATGTCACACTAAACAAATTCTCGCAGTATGTATGTATGTATAATAATATGAAGCAATATTTATTCAATAGTTTTGTCGCCGTATATAAAAGTGTATATGATTCTATCACTTAATTTATATTGTGTCTTCACTTTTGAATGATACTCTCTCTTGAAAGTTTGTTGTTTAAAAAAATAGGACAGAATAACAATCGTCTCAAAATTTGTAAGAAACAATTTAATTAATTACAATTAATTACTCTATAAAATTGCATAGAAAATTTACTTGTTAGTAGTCAGTTTTTCAAAATTTGTATAATAAATTATATAATTTATAAAATATAATAGGTATATAAAATATTTATTTGATTTATTATTTATATTTTCTTTAAATTTTTTTTATTTTTTATATTCTTATTTTATTTATACTATCTATAATATATAGATTTATGTACACTAAAAAAAATTATTTGAGTCAATTAAATAATTTTTGTTTTAAATACACAAATTATTGGATCAAATAAAATTTTTTTGGTCAAGTAAATGTTTATTTGATAATATTCAATTAACAATTATTTGAATTAAAAAAAAATTTTTAATGCAATATTTAATCTCTAATTTATTACATATTTATCTTAATATTATATTCTCAATGTTTAGTGCATATAATACAAATAAACACTGAAAAAATAATTAATTTCCCTTATTATCATTATATCATATTTTGGTAAAATTTTATGAAATTGATAATTTCGGATAATAATTATACTGACTTTTGTATTAAATTCTTCATGTAATGAATTTACTTTTTTTCTCGTAGTATTCCTGTTAACATCTCTCTTTAAAAAAAAGTATAAAATATGTCTTCTTATTTGAAATCTATCATCCTATTTTGCCTCATAATTAAAATAATGGGACAAGCCAAAAAACTGGAAACTGTATTTGAGTGGAAATATATTGATTATGTGTGGAATTCACCACAAGACAAAGAAGCAGCCATCAAATCTGGAAATTACAATTTTCTAAATGCAATTCTTCTTGATGTTGATCGATCACAAGGTAATAAAAATACCTTTCGAACAGTCGATTGTATAATAAAATCCAATTAAAATTTTTACAGACTTATAGTTGTTCAAATTTTAAATTTCATGCAAATTTTGATAATTTTTAGATACTTGTCTAACTTTTACTAATTTTTTCTAATCCAAACAATAAAAAAGTTGATGTTTTAAATTTTTTATCGATAGTCTATTTAATTACGAAAATTTTGAACCCAAGTAGAGTACAATCGAATGAAAAATAAAAATTCTACACTAGATTTAGTGAACAAAACAATTTTTTCATTTTCAGTAACCTTTTAAGTGATTTCGATCGAAACCCCTTTTTGTATTAAAAAATCCATTTCTTTGATAAAAATTTAAATATTTTTCATTATCATGTTACAATGGTCCAAAAATTACTATTAATTTTTTAAAATTTATTGAAGAATTAAACAAGGCTTTCAAGTTCAATTAATTCAATATATTAATTAAAAGAATGGATAAAAAGAATTATTTTGTTTTATTATTTAAAAATTTATTTATTTATTTTAGATGGGAGAACATTTGTTACTGTTGTCAGGACCCAAGGAGTTCCAGCGAGTTTAGGAGTGGTGTCTAATAAAAAAGGACCTGGAGGTCGTTTATTGAAACCATATCCAAGTTGGTCCTGGTATAAACCAGGTGACTGTAATGGCATCACTAACGTTTATAGAATTACTGTAAGTATTTTCAAGAAATAATAAAAGTAGAAAAAATTTTTTTTTTATTATTTATCATTATAAAAATATTAATATAATAATAATAATTAATATTATTATTTACTATTATTCTGTTATTTTTTAAATTCTGTTTTATTATTATTATTACTATTATTATTTTTAAAATAATTATATTCATTATTATTACACAGGTTTACAAATTTCAATTTTTTTTTTGTCACTCGAACAAAACATATTTTTTTCGATTAATATGTGTTTTTTGAGTAAGAAAATCATATTTAAAATTTTTTTTCCTAGTGCAATTTTTTTGTAACAGCAAATTATGCATTTTCCACAAAGTCACCGGTAGAGAAAGCAGTTAATCCAAATGTAAAAAATAAATCACCATTTGACAGATAATTAAATTACCTTTCAAACCATTGGTCAACCAATAAAATCCATTCAAAATTGTCAGAGTTACAGTCGATCAAAGTTCAAATTTCAAGCAAATTTTAATGATTTTTAGACATTCGTCTAACTTTTGCTAATTTTTTCAAAGTCAAACAATCAAAAAAAGGCAAGTTTAAAATATTTTTTGTTAATAATATATTTAATAACGAAACTTTTAAGTCTTTATAGACCTCGATCGGATAAAAAATGACAATTCTACACTAGATTTAGTGAACAAAGTACTTTTTCACTTTTAGTATATTTTCAAGTGATTACGATCTATATTAGTTTTGTATAAATTAAGTTAAGCGAAGCTCACCAAAAATGAGTACTCGGGGGTTTTCGGGGTCGCTGATTATGAATTCAAGGTCAGTTTTTGAAAATTCAAAATGGCGGATCCAATATGGCCGACAAAATTGTAATAATTAGAAATGAATTTTGAAAAACAGACCTCAGATTCGTAATCAGCGACCACGAAAACCCCCGAGTACTCATTTTGGTGTACTTAGATCTAATTACTAAAATTTTGTCCGCCATTTTGAATTTTGAAAAATTGACTTCGAATTCGTAATCAGCGACCCTGAAAACCCCCCGAGTACTCATTTTGATGAGCTTCGCTTAACTTAGTTTTATACAAAACTGATATAGATCAAAATCACTTGACAATATACTAAAAGTGAAAAACTACTTTGTTCAATAAATCTAGTGTAGAATTGTCATTTTTTATCCGATCGAGGTCTATAAAGACTTAAAAGTTTCGTTATTAAATATATTATTAACAAAAAATTTTAAACTTGCCTTTTTTTGATTGTTTGACTTTGAAAAAATTAGCAAAAGTTAGACGAATGTCTAAAAATTTTTAAAATTTGCTTGAAATTTGAACTTTGATCGACTGTAACTCTGACAATTTTGAATGGATTTTATTGGTTGACCAATGGTTTGAGAGGTAATTTAATTATCTTTCAAACGGTGATTTATTTTTTACATTTGGATTAACTGCTTTCTCTACCGGTGACTTTAAGTGACGTCACACCTGGAAAATGCATAATTTGCTGTTACAAAAAAATTGCACGAGGAAAAAAAATTTTAAATATGATTTTCTTACTCAAAAAACACATATTAATCGAAAAAAATATGTTTTGTTCGAGTGACAATTTCACTGTAAACCTATTATTTTTTACAGTTAAATTTTTCTACTGTTAAAAATTAACAAGTAAATAAATAAATATAAGTATATTTATTTTTAGATTGACAGGTGCAACAGATTGTGGGTTTTAGATAATGGAGTGATTGGCCATGATCAAGTGTGTCCGGCACAATTATTAACTTTTAATTTAACTACAAATAATTTAATAGATCGAGTAAAAATTGAAGATCGAATTTCTCAAAATCCTCAAACTCATTTTGGTACTTTAGTAACGCCAATTGTTCAAACTGATGGAGAACATTGCGAAACATCAAAAGCAAGTATTTGTTTTACATTGAATTTTTATACTTAATGAAATTTATTGTTGTCACCTTTTTTCCTGACAAGGACTCTTATCAGTTATCATTTCCAACTTATTATATAAATGAATAATAATTAATTTATCAATTAAAATTAATGAGTAATTAATTATCATCTAAATGCAGAATAATTAATTATTATAGTTAAATTAATAATAAATATAAAAAATGTATATGCGCAGGCTTTTCTAGCTGATGTAAATGGTTTTGGAATGGTAGTTGTGGATTCGCCTAATATATGGCGTTTGAATGGACCATATTTTGAACCGGAGGAGCCTTCTTCGGAGTTTTCATCTGTGACAGTTGCCGGTGAAAATTTTTCAATGGCGGATGGTCTTTTTGGCATGGCATTATCACCAAAAATTGGCAAAAATCCACAACAGCTTGTTTTTCGACCATTTTCTTCACGTTCAATTTATGCGGCCAAAGTTGATGACATTTTGCAAACAAAATATGATAAGCCATTAGTTTATTCTAATTATTCAAATGTACTTCCTAGTCAAGCAACAGCTCAAGCCTTCAGTTCAAATGGCGTTCTATTTTTGGGTCTCACAAGCGAAGTTGCCATTGGATGCTGGAATCAATTTAAGAAAATGACACCACAAAATATTGTAAGAATTATATTAATTTAATTAATTATCATATTAATATTAATTAAATTAGTTATTATTATTTCAATTGAATTAAATTGTATTTATTTATGAGTGTAGATTTTAGATTGAAGTCTATATTAGTTTTTATTTTGTTAAAAAAAAGATGTTTTTCGTACTGATTGTGACATTAATTATAAGCGCACGTCTAAATATGGTTAATGAAGCATAATTTATATATAAATAATTTTTTAGGAAATAATCGCTCAAGATAACAAAACACTACAGTTTGCAAGTGGGATTAAAGTAATCCCGGCGTCAGTGAGACAAAAGCAGGAAGAACTCTGGGTGGCAACGAATCGTTATCAAAAAATGGCAGTTGGAACTATTAATTTTAATGAAATTAATTATCGAGTTTTAAAACAATCTGTGAGGACATTAATTGCTGGCACTAAATGTGATCATCGTCATTATTAATTTCATTCGTATTGTAAGTGTGTCTAAGCGGCCAGGGTAGTTAGGGGATATTTTTCTTAATCCTTGTTAGACACCCTAATTATGTTCAAAATAGAAAAAGTAAATATAAAATTATAGTATTAAAATTTTTAAATATATTAAATTAGATTAAAACAAATAAAAAAAAATTTTTGTCATTTTCCAAAATCTTATAAATTGTGAAAAAGAACAACATGTCTTTACAAACATAAAAAAATTTTCTGTAGCTGAGTTTCTAATAAATATAATAAAAATGTGTAATTTTATGAAGTCGAAAGTTATTAACTAAACCTTTTGAGACTTATTTTGAATATTTCAAAATCGAACTAAGACAAATTTTCAAAAATTTTAATTAGGGTAACGGCACCAGTGAAGGAACTGACACCAGTGAAAGAACAAATTTCATGTTTTGCATTCTAATTAGTGTAATAAGCAATTTGGTATTATAAATTATATATTTTTACACGGAGAGAAGAGATTTAGTCTATTCTACTAAACACGTTTAGTCCAGATTCTACTAAACAGCGTAGTCAGAGGGACTACTATAGTTCTGTCACACAAAAAAATTTACCGACAGAATAAAAATGCACAAATCTGATTGGTTGTCCACAATTAACCAGATTGCGGACAACCAATCAGATTTCTACATTTCGTTTCTGTCGGTATATTTTTTTCTATCGATAATCGTGTAAATTTTTTTACTAAACAGTATCGTTCATTTAACTGAATGTTTAGTCCGTCCAAAATGAACGATACTGTTTAGTATATTTAACTGAGATAGTAGTAAGATCTACTACGCCCTTCTCTCCGTGTATGTTCCTTATTTAATTTACGTCTTTAGTATCTAAGATACCTAGAGAGTTAACACGTAAATTTTATAAAAAAAATTTTTTAAAAATGTTGTGTTGCAAATTTATCTTCAACAATAAGAACTCTTCTCTGACACGTTATTTCTTTTTTCACATTTAACTAATTTAAACTGCCTTAAATCGTCGGTCTTTTTTAAACTAAATTTATCTTGTGTATTAGAAATACTTCTTTTCATTTAAAAGCTAATAAAATATTAATTTGCCATAAGAAAAGCAAATTCCGTCATTGGGGGTTTTTTTTTTTTATTTACTAGTGAAAGAACAGAAATGTTTTTTCACTGGTTCCAATGCAATCCAATGAAGGAACACCTTCAACGAATAGTCTGAAGTCAAACAAAAAAATGACAAAATCAAATAGGTTAACACTGTTAGGTTACAATAATATTGTCAAAATAAATTGCAAGTAGATGATTGATTGTAGGTTATAAATGCATTTTCAATTAAAAATAAGATTCTGCAAACTTAGTTAAAAAATATTCATAATTATATCATTAATTTACCTTAATTTAGTATATTACAAACATTTTATTACTTTATCTTCGTTTTAATATATTTTTTAAATATATTTTAAATATATATTTCACATCGTTCTTTCACTGGATGCAGAAAATTCTTTCATTAGACAATTTGTTCTTTCACTGGTGAAATAGGTATGTTTTACTTATTAATTAAAATTTTAATTAACATCTTATATTTATGAAAATTAAATATGACCTTCGCATTCTACACTTCATTAGCTATCGAAATAAAATTGGTAAAAAAATTTTTAATAACTGCATTCAAAAATAATAAATGATTAAAGTATGCATTTCCTTAAATGTTCTTTCACTGGTGCCGTTACCCTAAGTAGGACAACATTTTTTTAAAAAAAGTTCCATCTTAAAATATTTGATGTCAGATTCAAATAAATAATTCGATTTTAAAATTTTTAGTTTTTTGTTTAAATGATAAAAATAATTTCAGAAAATAAGTTCTACAGATTTTGTAATTTAATTTTTTTAAATAATTGAATTGCAGGAGATTTTAAATTTGAAATAAATTTCCTACAAACCCTTCTACACTGAACAAAATGTTGCCGAGAAATTCAACTACCATTGGGTAGTTGTCTAGAAAGCAGTTAAAATAACTACTTTTTTAGTTAATCTAATCATGTTCATGTAGTTAATGTAACTATTTTTAAGAAGTTAATAAGTAATAGTTGATTTTACGTAAATATGTAGTTAAAGTACAACTACAAGTTGGTAGTAAAATTAGCTTTCTTAAGGTAGTAAAAACAAGTGGAATTGTAGTCAACTCAAAATTTGAAGAGTAGTAAATCCAACTACTATTCACCAGTTATATGAAATGTAGTAAAAGGAATTATTTTCTTTAATTAATATAACTGCTTTTTGAGTAGTTGTAATGATCTGCCTTTTTATTGCCAAAGGATTTGCTCGCCGGATGGAGTCCGGGTACCTATTTGACTAGTTACTTTAAATCTCGGTAGATGGCGTGAAGCGCCATCTATATTTCGATTAATTTTGGAACTATTTCATACTATGATGTAGAGGAGAGGTGTAGTCATTGACGAGACTTTATTTAAACCTTCGAAAGAGAATATATTGTTTAAATAAAAGAATAATAAAAATATACAAAAATGAATTATTACATAAAATAATATAAGAACAAAAGAATCTATACAATTAAAATAAAATACTAAATTCTAGAAAACGTAACGATAAAAGAACTAGCTATTCTAGAGGAGCATTCGCTGAGCTCCGATTTAAACATATTTACCACGTTCGCGAAGATGTTGGTCAGGACGACGCATATTACTTTCGCGTGAGGTACTTTCTAGAATTTACCCCCTAGACGACGGTACGGACGGATACTAGGGTCGTGCACGCTAGGTCGATTATTATTCGTAATCGGGAAGAAGCTAGATATTGGATTCGATCCAATATTCATGCCCGACGCGAAGCTAGTGCGAAGTAATATTCACTAGGTGTCTCCTCCACCCGAGAAGCGCCTCGAGATGGGGAATCGGCCTAGTGCATCATCCTTGTCAAGAGAGGGGTGCCTCTACTTGACAAGGATGGTCCTGTTGGAAGTGAGTGGGTAACATGGTTCACCAGTCTTCCACGGAAGCACCCTTAGGAAGTCCGGTTCGCCAGGTAGAAGGAGGGCGAAGGGTGTTACTGTTCCGCAGAAGCACCTACAGGAACAAGTACAGCTCCTTCTAGGAAGTGAGGAAGGCTCTGGTGTTCAGAGAGACGCACCTCTACTGAGCACCAGGTAGCCAGGAGTGAGTCGCTCCCAATCGTCAGAGAAGCACCTCTAGGCGAGTCGGAAGAAGACTGACGAAAAAGGTGCGAGACGAAAGGTATAACACTAGCAGCTAGGTGACAGCGAGTGGTGGGGGAAGAGAGTGACACTACTACTTACGCTGTCTACTTTCTCTCTTTTCGCCGCGCCACTATACTACGATACTCTATCGTTACATAGTAAATTAATTTCTATGATTTTATAGGATTCAATAAAATTCTTGTTGTAGAATTAACAAGTCGTCTGTAATTAAAACTACTACTTTAAGTAGTAGATTGTTACTATTTTAATTAATTCGATAAACTTAAAGAAGATTTTTGATGTAGAATTTACAAATCGTTTGCAGTTAAAACTACTACTTTAAGGGGTTACGCCACCCTGAAATTTTCAAAAAATTGATTTTTTTTGCTTAATTTCAAAATTTATATTCTAACGAATATTTTGAGATGTCTCCGAAGACAATGTCTCACTAATTACAAAAGTTATGATCTTTAGAAGTCAGCGGGTAGGGACGCGCCGAGAGCTGCTAGAAGCCGTCTAGCGCCTCCTTAACGACTTTCCATTTTCAGATCAGAGGAAATTCTTTCCATTCTAGGAGAAGAGTATTATGGCCCAGGAATTGCTGATTAAATAGTAAGTTAAAAAATTTTCAAGTTATAATACACTAAAGTATATTTTTTTCTTCTTTTGCGTTTTTCTCAAAACCACATTTTTCGAGACGGTGTACACGATAACTCGAAACGAATTCAACCGATTGACTTGCAAATTAATATACATCTTCCTAAATAGATTTTCCACAGAGTGACGTGGGATTTTTTCGATTGAATATTTTGAAAATTTTTTATCCAATTTTTATACGGTACACAGTGGGAAAAAAATGACCCTCTGTGGACAAAATCTACCGACAACACAAATCTTAACCGATTTTAATATTTATTTTTTCTAAATACTCGGAGACGTTTTTCCTGTAACGCACAACTGCGATAAATTTGATTTATTTCAAACTAACCTTAAAAATGATACCTATATATGAAATTACGTTATTAGGATGGTTTAAAAAATAAAAAAATGATTAATTTTGATACAGCAGAGAGTATTGTGAACCCTTTTTGATCACTGAATGCGAATTTGACATTAAAAATGCAAACTTTTAAAATTCAAAATGGCGGATGCAATATGGCAGGCAATGTTTTATAAAAGTCACCAAATTCACTCGAAAGTTGTTATTCAGGGGTTTTTAAGGTCGCTGGTTACGAATCTAAAAGTCAAATTTCAAAAATTCAAAATGGCGGATCCAATATGGCGGAGAAGAAAATCAAAAACTAATTGGATTTGCTTGAAAGTTGTTACACGGGGGTTTTTTTGGGTCGCTGATTACGAATCCGATGTCACATTTCCAAAATTCAAAATGGTGGATCCAATATGGCGACCAAAGAAAATTTGAAATTCACTAGATTTGCTTAAAACTTGTTACTCGGAAGTTTTCGGGGTCGCTGATGACGAATCTGATGTTAAATTGTCAAAATTCAAAATAGCGGATATAAAATAAAAAATTAATAACTTTTTAAAAATTTGATCGCCATATTGGATACACCATTTTGAATTTTGGAAATGTGACATCGGATTCGTAATCAGCGACCCAAAAAACCCCCGTGTAACAACTTTCAAGCAAATCCAATTAGTTTTTGATTTTCTTCTCCGCCATATTGGATCCGCCATTTTGAATTTTTGAAATTTGACTTCAGATTCGTAACCAGCGACCTTAAAAACCCCTGAATAACAACTTTCGAGTGAATTTGGTGACTTTTATAAAACATTGCCTGCCATATTGCATCCGCCATTTTGAATTTTAAAATTTTGCATTTTTAATGTCAAATTCGCATTCAGTGATCAAAAAGGGTTCACAATACTCTCTGCTGTATCAAAATTAATCATTTTTTTATTTTTTAAACCATCCTAATAACGTAATTTCATATATAGGTATCATTTTTAAGGTTAGTTTGAAATAAATCAAATTTATCGCAGTTGTGCGTTACAGGAAAAACCTCTCCGAGTATTTAAAAAAAAATATTAAAATCGGTTAAGATT